GGGGTTCAGGGGTGAATTTCGGGGTTCAGGGTTGAATTTTGGTGTTCAGGGGTGAATCCTGGGGTGAATTTAGGGCTTCAGGGCTGAATTTTGGGGTTCAGGGTTGAATTTAGGGGTTCAGGGCTGAATTTTGGGGTTCAGGGTTGAAATTTTGAGGTTCAGGGCTGAATTTTGGGGTTCAGGGCTGAATTTTTGAGGTTCAGGGGTGAATTTAGGGCTTCAGGGCTGAATTTTGGGGTTCAAGGTTGAATTTTGGGGTTCAGGGCTGAATTTAGGGGTGAATCCTGGGGGGAATCTCAGGGGTTTGTGAGGAATCTCAGGGTTTTGGGGTGAATTTAGGGCTTCAGGGGTAAATTTTAGGGTTCAGGGCTGAATTTTGAGGTTCAGGGCTGAATTTTGGGGTTCAGGGCTGAATTTAGGGGTGAATCCTGGGGGGAATCTCAGGGGTTTGGGGTAAATTTTAGGGTTCAGGGGTGAATTTTAGGGTTCAGTGGTGAATTTAGGGCTTCAGGGCTGAATTTTGGGGTTCAGGGTTGAATTTTGGTGTTCAGGGGTGAATCCTGGGGTGAATTTAGGGCTTCAGGGCTGAATTTTTGAGGTTCAGGGTTGAATTTTGGGGTTCAGGTGTGAATCCTGGGGTGAATTTTAGGGCTTCAGGGCTGAATTTTGGGGTTCAGGGCTGAATCTCAGGGTTCAGGGCTGAATTTTTGAGGTTCAGGGCTGATTTTTGGGGTTCAAGGTTGAATTTCGGGGTTCAGGGCTGAATTTAGGGGGTCAGGGCTGAATTTTTGAGGTTCAGGGTTGAATTTAGGGGTTCAGGGCTGAATTTTGGGCTTCAGGGTTGAATTTTGGTGTTCAAGGGTGAATCCTGGGGTGAATTTAGGGCTTCAGGGCTGAATTTTTGAGGTTCAGGGCTGAATTTCAGGGTTCAGGGTTGAATTTTGGGGTTCAGGGCTGAATTTTGGGGTTCAGGGCTGAATCTCAGGGTTCTGGGGTGAATTTAGGGGTGAATCCTGGGGGGAATCTCAGGGGTTTGTGAGGAATCTCAGGGTCTTGGGGTGAATTTAGGGCTTCAGGGGTAAATTTTAGGGTTCAGGGCTGAATTTTGGAGTTCAGGGCTGAATTTAGGGGTGAATCCTGGGGGGAATCTCAGGGGTTTGGGGTAAATTTTAGGGTTCAGGGGTGAATTTAGGGGCTCAGGGCTGAATTTTGAGATTCAGGGCTGAATTTAGGGGCTCAGGGTTGAATTTTGGGGTTCAGAGCGAACATTGGGCGCAGGCAGAGCCGTGTCAGTAGAAACCATTGAGTTTTTATTTGCAGTCACAATGCTTACACTGTTATGCAGCAAACACCCTTACAAGTCAACCAGCATCTGCTCACGCGGAAAAGGACCCAACACACAATCGCCAGGGGGCAGGGAAAAGAAAA